ATACTGAGGACCACAGTAATAACTTCCCCTTTGATGAGGATGTGGAGGTGGATGCGGTGGCATTATGCCTTTCGTTGCTTCCCGTTGGTGAATCCAGGAGGAACAACGGTCGACGATTTGGAAAACTGTGTAAATCATCTATTGTGGGTATATCTTTGGGATTAGCTTTAGTTTTCATTCTGTCCCGAACTTTGTACTCTATGGTTTCCGTTGTTGTTGTTGTAAGTTTCCTAAAAGGCCGATGCGAATGGTGATTTTTGTTTTTGTTGTTGTTTTTTACAGACTATTTAAAATGTTAATCACATTTTATTTTTATATCCAATGTCCACACACACAACATTCTATACACTTGATTTTTTTCTAGTCAATGGGTTTTTGATGGCATTGTGGGTTGGGGGTGGGAATCGAAGCAATTTGTATTCAATAATAATAGGTGTTGTTGTTATTGTTACAAAATCAATATTTGTCTCCTTAAAGACGAGGTAACACCGTTTTATTTTTCCGTCTCACATTATTTAGTAGAACTAACGCATACAGCAGCAGCAGTCCCAAACTAATTTGCAATTTTTTTCTTTTTCTTCCGCAATGATTTTTGCCGTATTCTTTTTGTCCTTTGCGGAGGCGGGGCAACAAGTTGTTATATAAAACGCACAGGATCAAAATTAACTGAACTGATTATTCCTTTGTAAAATACCACTTGGACATTCTTACGTCAAGGATTACAACAATTTTGTTGTTGTTTTGTTTTTCTTTTATATACAAATGATGAAAAACACACACACAAATTCATATGCTGTTGTTGTTATTCTATTGTACACTTGTTCTTCCTCTTGTGGGAATTTGCACAGGCTGCCTGTCTGCCGCACACAACACTTTCACTTGATGTAAAACCCCAATTTGATGATTATTTCCGTTTATTATGGGCGCGTCCGCATCCGCCACATGCGACTGATTGGAATGTTTTGAACTTTAGTTTTTTTTTGTATAAATTATGTTTGGATTTATTATTATATATCTAATGTGTGTGGGAAATGTTTACACTTGCTCTGCTGCGTAATTTTTTTGTTTGTTTCTCGCACCGCCGATGGCTTCATTCAAACAATCACGACTGACTGACAGATTGTCCCTCTCTCAGTAATAACAAACCGTTTTTACTTGCTCAAAATAAGATAGAGTTGTGTCATTCGCCAATGAGACTAGTTCAAAAGTGAGATATTCACTTCGATAACTGTAAGGAATTTCATGCAATTGGCCCTATATTGTTATTGTTTTTAAGTTTAAGATTTTAGTAATACTATCGTAAATTCCGACCGGGACAATCTATTGATACCCACAACCATGGAGTGGACATTCGAAATACCAAAAATTAAACGCATGGTACAGTAATTCAATATAGGACAACTTGAGGCGAATAGCAAAAAGCATCCTTTACGGGTAGTGGATTCTTCGGACAAATATAAAGACATATGGCCTGTTCCCGTACTGCAAGAATCTACTAGATTTTACTATTTTCTTCGATATCATAAAGCAAAATTCATTATCGTAGTAAGAAGTAGTAGATTCTACTATTTTTTTCGATATCATAAAGGAAAATTTGTTATCGTAGAAAAAAGTAGTAGATTCTTGCAGTACGGGAACAGGCCAATAGTTGACATTTTTCAACACATAACAAAAACGCAACCTGAGTTCGTCTTCGGACGGCTCACAAGAAGGACGACATTAAAAATTATAATACGACCCTGGGCATAAAATATAAAATTTTGCAACGTGTTTATCAAATTAGACAAAATTCTTCGTATACGAATAACCTATCAAGTCACCAAGTATCAACTTATTGAAGTTGAAATCGATTTTTTAAAGATATTCAGACTTTGTCTACGCATGATATATGGTCCTATACCTTCTATACTAAATAGAAAGTGGACTAGTTGGAGGGGGAGTAAAGACGAAAAAACGCAACCTATGGCGGAACATACCGAAAACGACGCGTGACGGTTGGAAACATACCCAAAGTCTTTAAACTACGGAAAATTGCGTGCCACACCATTACGTGGATCGAAATTAATCGTATTTGGTAGGTTACAAAATGCCTACCATACCTTAATAGGCTATGGTATATAAAGGCTGGTGGTATATAAAAGGGTACCCGGTATATAAAAGGGTGGACCAACATTGATACTTTTTGGTGGGAAGTTTCGTGTCATATTGAATTAACAAATGTTCAAAATGTTGACACTTTGTGGGGAAGGTACTAGAAGAAGTGGACCAATGAATCCCACATTCGGGCTTGAACTAATCAAGGTAAAGCATTATTATATTCAAATTTTGGATCAAATCGGTCATTGCATTTGCTTAATATTTGATTAAATTATTAAGATTTGGATCATTTGTAGGGAAGCTATTAGAAGGAGGGAACCGATGTGTCCCCATCTATCGATAAGTGGATCGATATTCATCTTCGAACTTCATCTAAGTTTGAAAGAAATATTAAAATGTTCAAAGATCCCTTCGAGAGTTACGCACCAGCCGGTCAGTCTATTTATCGGATAGCCAAGTTCTACTGACTTGTCACGTGAGAACCTTGGTCTTGATCCTGATAGCTATGATGTTTACCCACGAAAAAATTGGAATCTAAAGGCATTGGATTCAAACTCTGTTAGGTCATACCTAGAAGGGAACGGATGGGGATTACTTTTTCAGCCAAGATAACGAAGAATCCGAAATGCCTCGCATAATGAGACGGGTACTATATATGGAGGCTATATCTAAACATAGATCCATCAATATACGTAAAATGACGAGTGACCTTTGTACGGGTTCCGTGTCCACACATGGATCTATATCGAACATGTCCATGTCCACTTTGTCTACAAACAATTTCTTTATTTCATCTATATAATAGCTCTTCCCTTTGTCTATGAAGACTTCTTATGAAGACACAACTATGAGAGAGTTTATTTAGCTCATCTCTAGATACTCCCTACAACTCGTCCCTGGAGACTCCCTATAACTCGTCTTTTAAAGACTCCTTTCGTTTCCTATCATTTTTTCATCTGTTTCAGATCGTTTTCCTTCAAACTCCTATTAGTTCGACACCGTGCTTCATTACGTATACGAAAGCCTCTCCGCCTTCAGCTCTTTCATGAAAAATACTTTGTTTCCGCTCGTCTTCGGAAACCTCCTTCCTCGTCTATGAAAGACCCCGTGCATTCAGCTCCATTAAAGTCCCCTTCATCAACCTTCCTTGAAAGAGTTCTTGCTTTAAGCTGGTGTATGAAAGACTCCCTGACATCAGCTCGTCTATGAAGATTCCCTAACATCAGCTCTTCTACGAAGTCTACCTCATATTGGCTCTTCTAAGAAAGACTACCTGACTTCGGCTCGTCTATAGAATACTCCCTTACTTCAGGTCGTTTATGAAAGACTCCCTTCAGTTCTATGAAAGTCTTGCTTCTTCAGCTCTTTAAGCACTTCCATGTAAGACGCCCTGCCTTTAACCGGCCTATGAAAAACTCCCTGACTTCAGTTCGTCCATACAAGCCTCTTTGAAACACTTCCTATCTTTTTTATCTCGTCTATGTAGACACCCTAACGCCAAAACGTTTATTGAAGACTCCCTGACCGCAGTTTTCTATCTCATCCATCTTTATCAGACCGTCGTCCACTTCAGAACAGATTCCCTTTTAGCTCGTCTATGACAATTCAGGAAACGATAAGCGTTAGTGTTATCGTTTCCTTGTGGTTGTTGTATTTTCGATAACACATAACGCAACGCGAGCTTTCTGGTTAGCCCTTAAGCGCGCCTAGATGACTCGCTTCAGCACTTTTCTGAAAGAATTCCCTCAGCTTCTCTCTATCTCTCGTTTCTTTAGGAACATACTTATTTCTTTAAGTGTTTTTAAATGACAGCATTGCCAACATTTAACAACACTCAGCATGTCGTTGACAAACGACATCAGCTGTCGACTTCTAGAAACCTTTCTACCTGTTGTTTCTATTTTCGTCTTATAGAGCCCTTTATTATTAATCCTTGTATTGTTTTGATTCCTGAAATTTATTTGCATTTTACTCTTTATACAGCGTTTCTATTCGCGTGTGTGTGTTTGCCGTGGAAATGTTCCATGGACGGTATTAGATTTGAAATATTAGATTTGAAAGGAATTAAAATTGAATAAAAAAATCGAATCAATCAACAGAATCGGATTTGTCACAAAAGAAATGGATGATAAGAAATCGAAAAAGCCAGACGATTGGATAAAAGTCCAAAGTAAAAGTCGTCTGGGACGATATTATTTATTTAATCGAGCTACAGGTGAAACCAAATGGTTGCCCTCAGAAGCCAAGAACAAAGAGTCGTCGAATGGGGAGGTTACAGATAAGGACAAGTCACCTTCCAAAGGAAAAACTCACATTGAGGAAGAGTCTCCCCCACCAAGAATATCGGGTAAGTGTTGATAAACATTCGAAAGAAGTATATTTTAGACGTACTCATTATTTCAGCCCCCAAACCCTTGAAAACTCCTGCCCAAGATCGCCTTAAAAGACTGCAACATGAGATAAAAGTGCAGCAATCAAAGAAACAGGAAGCGAGGAGCAGTAAACGACGTGCCTCGGGCGACAGTGAAGCAAAATCCACAAAGACTTCAGTTTCAAAATACCAACAGGAGAATCGGCCTCTAAGTAAGGAAACAAAAGATGATCCTCCTTCTTCGAGTAGAAGTAAATTGGCTAAATTAGCAGAGTCCAAGAAAGAAAAACAGGAGAAATCGTTACAAAATGAAGGTTCCAAAGATGTAAATAATTCTCCTAAAAAGAAGACATCAAAAACTATTTCCAAAGAATCGGAAAATCGCACAAAGGAGATTTATACAAAGACAGAGCCCAGAAAAAGTAAAGAATCCACTTTGGAATCCCCAAGTAAACGTGCCAGCAAAAGATCCCTACCCAGTGATGCAGAAACTTCTGCTAGCCTTGAAGATAATAAATCCGAATTGGATAAAATGGTTACAACAACTAAAGAAAAATCTATAAATTCTGCCAAAGAACCTCTTAGTCCAAGAAAACGGGCCATTAAAAGACCGCTTTCAAATGATTTGGAATCTTTAGAAAGCCGCAAAGATAATACATTTAGTTTGGATATTTTTGCTACTCCGTCAGCTGCCAAAACGTCACGCCCCATAGACATCCCTAAAAAAGAGGTGGTAACATCATTACCCGCCAATAATAATTATTTATTGGATGAGGACACCGAAATGTTACCTTGTGAAGAGGTCACCACTCAATCATCACCTGCAATTACAAATAGCGAATCAGACCCCAATAAGTTATCAACTTTTGGTAGTATTCGTTCGGGTATTGTTAGCAAAATTAAAGAGATATGTAAACTACCATTTGGTAGTCACAAAACGGAAGATATTGCTACAAAAACTTCGAATTTGTTAACTAAGACGAATTTTAAACCCGCCAAAAAGACTGAAAATAAATTTGAACACAATTCGTTTCCTGTTCAGCAAGCTTTAAGCGAGCTAAGGGAAGCTCAAAGGACATTGGGTGCAGATACATCACATAATACCAGTTCCACATCATCCACGTCATTATTGAATTTCGCCACACCACCAAGTACACCGAAAAATCTGAATATTCCAGCGTATTGTAAGGGATCGGGTAAGTGATAAGGTTCTTATTTAACAATGTAATCTTCTCGTCACACAGGCTTACCGCTCGTCCCTGAAAGATTCGATTCTTCAGCTTGTCTTTGAAGGAATTCTTTTTTTAGTTCCTCTGCGAAAGTTTCGCTCCTTCAAAAATCCACGCCTTAGGGTAGCCTCAAAAAATATGAAAGACTCCCTGTCTTCTGCTCGTCTATAAATATGCCTTTTAATTCATCTTTAAAACCCCTTAATTTGTTGTTCTTCTTCTAGCCAATTCCCGTTTGGAACGCCTAAGACAATCTCTGTTGACGCAGCAGCAATCCATGCAGGCAAATAGCTCGACTTGCTTCTCATCACTGCCCAATGCCACCAACACCAGTCCAGGGCCACCAAAGACAATAGAGACATCATTAAATGAGACATCAACTTCCATATTTCATACTGCCAATAATACTATGGATGATGGTAAGTCTTGCAATATTTAAATACCAAGAAAATTTGAAAACACATCCCTTCCGAATTTCAGAAACTGAAGAAATGGATTGGGAACCATTTGTAAAAGAAGATACGTATACCATAGTAATATCAAGCAGTGAATCAAATTTACCATTAGTAGCACCAAAAGAATCGTCCCTAAAATCCCTACCCGAAACAATGGGAGATATTTATGATGCGGTTAATGAAAATCTATTACGATTGTCGGCGGAAAAGAAATCCACGTCCATGGGCAATAATAACAACAAATGGAGAAAAGATTACTACTATTTTGTGGTGGATACCAATGTCCTGCTGGACCATCTAAGCTTCATTGAAGATTTGACTCAATTGAAATTGTGTGGTGAGTTTGAAAATCACATTTTTTTTAAAGAATTATTTTTTTAGATAATAATCTCTTGCAGATACCAAAGGCAGTATGCTATACATACCCTATGGCGTTTTACAGGAATTGGATAAACTAAAAATGCGTTCCGGCTGCAAGGAGGGTGTTAAAACTTTAGCTGTGCGTGCCATTAAATATCTGAATAAGAAATTGGAAAATAAATCACAAAATATATTGGGTATTGGTCAAATGCAATTTAAATCGATAAAAACAAAAAATTAAAATTCAGTTTCTATTTTTTTTTCACAGCCCAAACTGCCTTAGAGGAACGTCATCATCTAATCGATGTCAATTCGGCCGATGACAGTATCATTAATTGTTGTCTACAAGCCAAGGCTCAAGTGCCCAATCTCCTACTGCTCACCGAAGATGTAAATTTACGCAATAAAGCCATATGCAATAATATTTTAGTTGCCACAAAATCGGATTTGTTGTCAAAACCTAGTAAATCACAATCTTGACCCCCCTTGAATTGGTTGCAAAAATTTCGTTATTCTTTTGTTATGAAGAATTTCAAATTCCGTTAATTAATAATTAATTTTATTATTCGTATACATATATATGATCTTGTATATATATATATATTTAGTATTTACTTGATGTAAATAATTTTTATTAATTTTTTTCTCGTGGAAAAAAATTCTTTACAACTTTCGTTTGTTAAAGAATCTGAAGAAAATAGGATGTAGAAATTTTCTAAACTAAATGAAATGGATTTGGATTTATTTGTTTGTACTGAAAGTAAATATTTAAAAATTTACTTGCGAAATGATATAAATAATGGATATTTATTGTTAAAAAATTTTTTGTTTTTAAGTTTTTTTTACTAGAGAGCTGTGTGGAGCCTAAAGACGAGCTAAAGGGAAGAGAGTCGCTCACAGAGAAGCTGAAGAAGGGAGCCTTTTTTAGAATAAGTGAAGGCACAAAGCATTTCTTAGACGAGCTGAATACAGGGAATCTTTCATAGGCGAACTGAAGGAAAGAAATTTTTAAAGACATTTTTTCAAGACGTGGATTTTTTTTAATGTATTTTTTAAGGTGTGGAATTTGGTAATTATCATTTTCTATAGAGTGGAATTTTGTAATAAATTTTTTTAGGCGTGGAATTTTTCAAAAATAAGTTTTTAAAATTATTTTTTTTTCAAGGCGTGGAATTTTTATAGTCAATTTTTTCAAAGCTTGGCATTTTTATAGTCAATTTTTTCAAGGCTTGGCATTTTTATAGTCAATTTTTTCAAGGCTTGGAATTTTTATAATCAAATTTTTCAAGGCGTGGAATTTTTATAATCAAATTTTTTTCAAGGCGTGGAATTTTTATAATCAATTTTTTTAAGGCGTGGAATTTTTATAATCAAATTTTTTTTCCAGGCGTGGAATTTTTATAATCAAATTTTTTTCAAGGCGTGGAATTTTTATAATCAATTTTTTTAAGGCGTGGAATTTTTATAATCAAATTTTTTTTCCATGCGTGGAATTTTTATAATCATTTTTTTTAAGAAAATTAAAAAAATTATTATAGTTTTTTATAAAAGTTATAAAAATAGGTTTTTAAAATATTTAAAAATACAGATTGAAATTATTGCTTATTATTGTCCTCAATTCTCAAAATACATATTTCAAGGCGTGGAATTTTTATAATTAATTTTTTCAAGGCGTGGAATTTTTATAATCAATTTTTTCAAGGCTTGGAGTTTTTATAATCAATTTTTTCAAGACGTGGAATTTCTATACTCCATTTTTTCAAGGCGTGGAATTTTTATATTCAATTTTTCAAGGCGTGGAATTTTTATAATCAATTTTTTCAAGGCGTGGAATTTTTATAATCAATTTTTTCAAGGCGTGGAATTTTTATAATCGTTTTTTTTAAGGCGTAGAATTTGTATAATCAATTTTTTCAAGGGTTGGAATTTTTATAATCAATTTATTTAAGGCGTGGAATTTTTATAATCGTTTTTTTAAGGCGTGGAATTTGAATAATCAATTTTTTCAAGGCTTGGAATTTTTATAATCAATTTATTTAAGGCGTGGAATTTGTATAATCAATTTATTCAAGTCGTGGAATTTTTATAATAAATCATCATTTCTTTAAAATTTTAAAAATATATGAAGACATTAATACATACCTCAAATATACATACCTTCCTCCGTTGCTGGAATTTCATGATTTGCGCCATTGTTTGTTACCAATTATTTTATGTCAATATTGAAAACAAAATTACCCCACAAACTTTACTTCCGTTTTTTGTGTTATCAGAACAAACATAGGAATGCTCTTCCTCCGATTAGCTATTATTACCCTTCCAGTTTTTCCTTTATTGTTGGCTGTGCAAATATTTACACAAAATTTTGGAATATTGTTATTGAATCGGCTTTTTTTTCTTTTAATTAACTACAACTTTATAAATAATAGAGATAAGATTACAAAAGGAAAGGCTTATTTGTTTAAAGATCGTGCCTCCCAAAACAAAAAATTGCTATGCATTCTATAAACTTTACAGCATCTAATCGATTCAGTTTTAAAACTTGCGTAGTGCATTAAAGACGTGTGTGCGTACAATTGTAGACATTTTTTTGAATAAAAAAATATAATTTTTGTTGTGTATTTTGAATGAAACTCCTTTACATTGGGGATATTAATCCTTGAAAGGTAGGTGATTTCCTTTTTTTTACATTTTTATTTCATCAAATATTTGTATTTTTATTAATTAGGCAGTTTAAATAGATTTTTGAAAATACGTATTTTTAAATTTTGTGTATACATAAACCTTTTTTGTTTTAAAGATTTCATTTCAAAATATATAGCTAATTTTGTGGATTTTTTTAATACATAGAACCATAATTTTTGCTCTGAGTTTTAAAATATTTTTTTAATAATTGTTTTTTTTTACTATTCCATTGGAAATGGATGCTGCGATTGCATACGTTCCAATTGATCCGAAAGTGTCTTTTGTTCGGCTGTTAAACGATAAATTTCCTGTTGCTCTTCCGGTGATAGTGGCTTACGTTTTGCCTTTGTCTGTAGTGTCCTTTTATAGGTCTCCAATATTTCCTGATCAATGGCATCGAGTTTTCGCTTAACTTCTAAGCGTTTTATTTCCTCACTCGCTGCCTCATGCAGACGTTTTAAGGCATTACTATTGTATTCGGCAATGGCCGATAGCTCTGCAACTAAACGTTTTATTTCAGCATGTATTTCATCTTCGTCATTATTGGGAAAATCTGAGATATCCAAGATACCCTGTTCGATAAGCTCTTTCTTGACCCGTTTCTCGATGCCAATGCAATTCCTTAACATTGACAGCGAACGGAAACTCATTGCTGCCGAAGAGTGGGTATTTTCACTACTGCTATTACTATTGTCGGCCACAACATCGGCTGGATTTGTGATCAATTGTTCTTCCATTAGGGCGGAGACCAAACGTTGTGTCAATGGCCCCGTCACACATTCATCCACAATGGAATCGGCCTTCTTGAGCATATTGTTAACACCACCATTATTTTGAGGCTTCAAACGATTATTGGTATTGGGATTTGACCCCTGTTGAATTTCCTTCATATCCTCTGCAGCCCATATGGTAGAGTAGTGGGGTCCCAGTTCAGGTATTGGTGGCACCAGTGGACCATTATACTGCTCCATTAAATCATCCAACAAACGTAAATCCTCATTTGTCAGCGGCATACAATATGGCTCAACGGAAAGCCAAAATTTATTGGGGGTATCTATTTTGGCAGGTATTGGTTTTTGTACATCCCGACTGGTGGCGCCACCATGCACCCCTGGCGCACAATCCATACTATCGTCTGTCTGCTGGGCCGCCAATGGACTATTTTTATTGTGTAAATTTTTAGCATGTTTCAGTGTGGTGTGTTTTGGTTTGCGCACCAACGATGTTTCATCTCGTTTACGTTTCCCACTGCTGGTCATGGCCGTAGCCGGTGAAGTGGGCTGTTTCTCACCCGCCTGTGCACCCAACAGCTGCAGTGAATGTTTACTTTTCTTATCTTTATTTTTATCATCTTTGTCGAGATTTTCATATTCCAATTTTAGTACCCGATAACGTAGTGCCACACTGGAGAGTAATTTTTCTAATTCCAATTGTATGTTATCCAAATCCTCGGCCGCCAAATAATCTTCGGCGGGTTTACCTAAGGCCGCCGAGTAGATGGGCAATTGTTTGGGACAATCCTTAGTCTTTATCATGGGAATTACCAGGCCCGATGAACTTTCTGTGTCTGGGGATACCGGAGGGTTCGTCTGCTGTCCCATTGGCAATTTCATACTCTTCATGCTTTTGGCCATGTTGGTGCCGGTTGTGTTTTCAACGAGTTTTGAACTCGAAGAAAGTCTGCAAAACAAAATACAACAAAAATAATATAAACAAAAGGCAGAACTAAAGCTGTGTCCCCAATTAAATCGCACCCCCTTTAGAATCCGTTATTTGAGTACAAAATTAATATTAAATAACAAAAATACAAATAACGTAATGCAAATATACGTACAATTATTCGTTTTGCAAGCGCGATGAACTATAAATATTCGTTTTTTTTCTATTCTTGTCAAGCAGCAGCTGAAGAAATACTGAATCACATCCGCAATTTATTAATGTAAACAAATTAGTGGTGGCAAGCAATCGATAGTGTTATCGATAATACTTTTGACAACAACAGTCTAGTGTCAGTTGAATAGCTGGCAGGGATGGAAAGTTTTGAATGTTGCTGTACCTTTTTTGTACGTGGCCATTCATACAGATAAAAAATATATAACAGGGTGATTCAGATAAAATATTATTATATATTTGTGTAATAACGGCCGGTAGTTAATTAGTCGCATGATGAACATCTACTTTACTATAATATTAATCAAATACACCCGATGAACTAGCTTCTAATGAAGCATACAATGACTATTGAAGATGATCAGAGAACCATACGCAGTTTGTGGACTGATTAGTCGGGATGTAGGGAGGGGGCCTTGCTTGGTCTGGCGGGAGGTGACCTTGTTTCTAAACTGCTTACTTAGACCATATCAGCATCTGTTGGCTATCACAATCTTCGCTTTTATGCGGATTATAACAATTCGCTCATCTACTGGAGTTAATCTGGAGACGAGGTCTTTTATTCTCCTGTTAAACAGAAATCCGCAGCCAAATTCATGTCTCGTTTTATGGCAGCTATAATACAGGGCGTAATCATCAGATTTACTTACGTCAGTCCCTTTCCATCGCATTTTCTGTAAGGAAATAATATCGGTTTTGTACTTCTTGAGTACATAATCCAAAGCGAAAACTGCACCTGTTCTTTACAAGGTGCGCACATTCCAAGTGCAGATTCGCAGATCGTGGTCCTTTATACGTTTGCGGCGGTCGTCAACATTGGGGGGTTTAGTTTTCTTTTTCTTTGCTTTTTCACAGTAGGAGGGGTTTTCCGAGTGTGGGTAACTAACCCAACGCCTCAACCCTTTTTTTAGTGTTGTTATGGGTGAACTC